CAATGAGGTACCATTACACGCCAGTCAGGATGGCTGCTATCCAAAAGTCTACAAGCAATAAATGCTGGAGAGGGTGTGGAGAAAAGGGAACCCTCTTACACTGTTGGTGGGAATGCAAACTAGTACAGCCACTATGGAGAACAGTGTGGAGATCCCTTAAAAAACTGGAAACAGAACTGCCATATGACCCAGAAATCCCACTGCTGGACATACACATTGAGGAAACCAGAATTGAAAGAGACATGTGTACCCCAGTGTTCATCACAGCACTGTTTACAATAGCCAGGACATGGAAGCAACCTAGATGTCCATCAGCAGACGAATGGATAAGAAAGCTGTGGTATGTATACACAATGCAATATTACTCAGCTATTACAAAGAATGCATTTGAATTAGTTCTAATGAGGTGGATGAAACTGAAGCCTATTATACAGAGTGAAGTAAGTCAGAAAGAAAAACACCAATACAGTATATTAACACATATATATATGAAATTTAGAAAGATGGTAATGATGACCCTATATGCAGACAGCAAAAGAGACACAGATGTAAAGAACAGACTTTTGGACTCTGTGGGAGAAAGCAAGGGTGGGATGATTTGAGAGAATAGCATTGAAATGTGTATATTATCATATGTGAAATAGATTGCCAGTTCAGGTTCAATGCATGAGACAGGTGCTCAGGGCTGGTGCACTGGGGTGACCCTGAAGGATGGGATGGGGAGGGAGGTGGGAAGGTGGTTCAGGATAGGGAACACATGTACAGGCATGGCTGATTCATGTCACTGCATGGCAAAAACCACTACAATATTGTAATTAACCTCCAATTAAAATAAATAAATTTTAAAAAATGAAGTACTCTGTTGGATGAAAAATATGAATTCTTAAATTCTTACATATGAACTCTTAAATCACATGGTGTGAAGTCCACAGGAGAGGAGAGAAGCAGTCGCTGCCATACCTCCTGCATCCTCCAGGATGGCACTCACCACTTCACATGTGGAAAGGGGCAGAGCTGCCCCAAGAGTTTACCTATTAGTTCACTCTTACTTTCTGCCTCTCTCTACCAATTAGCCTTATTTTTTTGCCGAATAAATAGTTAAATTTGCATGCATTATATAGAAATGATGTGCATCCAATGTAACATGATCAAAGACCTGATGTCAGCAAAGAGTTATGCTTTCAGTAAATACCTTACTTACACAATATAGCTGAAATTTGGGGGTCTGTATTAATTTCCTAGGGCTGCCATAAGAAACTACCACAAACTAAGTGTCTTGGAACAACAGAGATTTATTCTCATAGTACTGAAGCTGAAAGTCTGGAATCCAGGTGTCAGCAGGACCATATACTCTCTGGAGGCTCTAGGGCTTTGCCTCTTTCAGCTTATGGTAGCTCCACTTTCCTTGGCTTCTGGCAGCAAAGTTCCCATATCTTTGCCTCTGTCTTCCAGTGGCCATCTTCCCTGTGTCTCAATCTTCTCTCTTCCTTGCCTTAAAAAGACATTGGGTTCAGGGCTCACTCTAAATCCAGGATAATCTCACCTTGAAATTCTTAACTTAATGTCTTCAAAGACCTTATTTTCAGATAAAATCAGATGCATAGGTACCCGGGGCTAGAATTTGGACATATCTTTGGGGAGCCACCATCTAAACCACTAAAAGATTTAAGAAAGAGAGTGATAAAAGTAGATTGAAGCTTTATTTTGACCAGCTTTGAATGCCAACTTCAAACGTCTTTGAGGGTTCTTTGCAGAGTTGTAATGCTAGCAACCTTGACTTCAACAACTGTTCAAACACCTATACTATAGGGTCCCCTCCTCTGCCTCACCACCACTATCTGACACCCTGCAACCCTCCTTCCCTTACTTTAATTACTCACTGGGGTCATTGCAGTTCAGGAAGTATTGACATACTTCAGTGTCTGCTTTTCCATGTCCTAATTAAAATTCCCATCCCATATCTCATCCTCTACATGTGGTGGTGTGGTTTGTCACTAAGTTATGTCCGACTCTTAGGACCCCACGGACTGTAACCTGCCAGGCTCCTCTAGTGATGGTTAATCAATTGAAATAATCTTCATTAAGGAAAGCACTGGTTCATCAACATTATTAAAAAAACCTATACACAGACTTTCCTGGTGGTCCACTGGTTAAGAGTTCACCTGCCAATGCAGGGAACACAGGTTCAATCCCTACTCCAGGAAGATTCCACATGCCACAGGGCAACTAAGCCCTAGAGCCACATGAAGCCATACTGAAGCCAGCATGCTCTAGAGCCTGCTTTCTGCAACCAGAGTAGCCACCACAATGAGAAGCCCATGCACTGCAACTATAGAGTAGCCCTGAGTCACCAAAACTAGACAAAGCCCACATGCAACAACAAAGACCCAGCAAACCCCAAAAATACAAAAAATTTTCAAAATAAATTAATAAAAAAAAATTTTTAAGCCCTATATGCATAGCCCAGAAGGTGTGATACCAGATCCCTCTAGGGAGATGCAGCTGCTGCCAGAGACACCACCTGAAGCTGATGGGAAGGGGCAAATGCCCTGGTTAGCCCCTTCTTCTTGCCCCCAGATCTCTCACTATTGGCCAAACCCAGCTAGAAGCTAGCTGCCTTGGGAGCCTGGAAACAACAGCTTGCAGAAATCAGTTCCTGAGACATAGAACAGGGGAGAGAGGAAAAGGCATGGATCTGAGGACACACAGGCCCAGGACCAACATGTATTATTATCCCCATTTTATACAGCAGGTCATGGAACTCAGCAAACGTTATTAGTTGCCCAGAGTCACACAGCTGGTAAGTATTAGTGTGGATTTTGAATTCAAGTCTATCTGAATCCAAACCCTGAGTTCTTGCCGTGGTCTGATCTCTCTACCATCATGGACATTTCAGTTGTTTTGTCCAATTGCCTTGCTCCAGAGGCAGTTTGGGGGCTTCCCTGGTAGCTCAGCTGGTAAAGAATCTGCCAGCAATGCAGGAGACCCCAGTTCAATTCCTGGGTTGGGAAGATCCCCTGGAGAAGAGATAGGCTATCCACTCCAGTATCCTAGGGCTTCCCTGGTGGCTCAGCAAGTAAAGNCAGGGACATCCATTATAGTGGAAGCAATAGGGGTAATGTCACCTACTTTCCTCTTAGACTGTTTACAGGCTTCTAAATCTGCCCTCACTGAGACTGTTCTGATTGAGACTGACAAGCAATTGAAACAACTCTCAGATGGGAAAGCACTTGGTCATTTTCTTCAAGTTCATCCTTTGCTGGTCCTCCCAGAACGAATCACCAGGAAAGCATTTGATCAGAACTTCTGTAGAAGCACAACCCCCAGCTCTTTAACCTCATGGCTTGTTTCTTATGCAGAGGGTAGGAAATGCCTTCAGAACCCCTTACTGTCTTGATGGCAGGGATTGAAACCCACTCTAGCATCCCTTAGCACTTCTGCTTGTTAGGGTCTTCCTGCAAGTGGACAAGATTGGACTCTGCCTTTCTGCAAAATGCTTGAAGATGTGCTTAAATTCATTGTTTTCTCTAAGCCAAGGTGAAGGGAATTCTAGGAGACATCAAGTCCACCTCTCTGACCTTGAAGAAGGACCACTGTCTCCAACACACCCATATTTTTCCTTTAAAATGAAAGAAATTTCTTTTTTTTCTTGGCTCTCCAATCAGATGGCAGTGAGCTGCAGAAGCTCTGTAGGACTCTAGCTAACTTCCCCCACACACTGTTTTCTTCCCTGCCAACTAATTCCTGCCCTTAACCTTCTTAGGTGTCAGTACAGCACCTATTATTCATGGCTTCATTGACATTTCTTCTCAATCCCCAAAGCTGGCGGTGACTCATCCTCTCCTGTCACCGAAGGGCATCATTGGGCTGTGTACAATGCACCACATGAAATCCATGCTAGCTCTTCTCTGACGCTTTTCAACAGAGGCACCCTGGAAACTTTTAAATTTGATGACCTAAAGAAAAACAAAAAGATTTCCAATTTTATAGCCTGTAGACTTAAATTAAGCCACCTTCCTGAGTCATGCAGGGACCCAAGGATTCTGAACTTGCCTTGGGGGAGGAGAGTCACCAGGTTAGTTTAGCAAGGGTCTAAAATGTCCATAACCTTTCCTTGGAGGATGTCTCCAAGTGCAGTCCACAGCACTAATGACATCATATAGGATGGCAGCTTCCTAGGAGGTTGCATCCAACTCCCTAACCTTATTAGCCTCTTGATTGTTCGGTAGGATAGATTCTCCTCACTCCCATCCTTACAGCCTGAACCATAGTGATGTGTGGATAAGAGAAGGGGATCTCTGGTAATGGGACTTAGTAGAGAGAATGACAGTGACCCTTTTAGTAAAATCACAAACAGTATAAAAAGAGGAAGCTCATCCTGCAGGGCAAAGGTTTGCAGTATTGCAAATGTAGTGCATTGATGGCAGGCAAGTATGGCATTTGTTCTCACTTCCCCCATCCTCTATCTCCCATCTCTGTATCTTCCAAGCCACAAACACAACCCCATCCAACAGCAAAATCAGAAAGCAGTCACTCACAACCCACACTTGAGATCAAACCAAGGAAGAGATATAAGTTTGGGGCTAAAGCCAGGACACAAATGTGTGACCTCTAGACTATGCATAGTTCTCAGATGTGTTGGTTTAGTCCATGCAGTATCTTTCTTTAAAATTTAAATGCACATATAAAATTGTGAAGTTCCACATAAAAATATAGTTTTCTGATTTCTCTTGAAAAATGAACCCGTCTTACCACATCATGCTAGAATTGCTGATGGCCACTACCAGCTAGAGCTGGTTAACTGACCCCAGCCACTTTATAAGAAACCCTCACTCTCCAATTCACTTCTCTTACTGAGGGCCTGTTTCACCTTTCTATATGGCCCTTACAGGCAACCAAATCTTAGTCTCTTGGGTTAAGGCAGGGAACAGAGAGGGAAAGAGAGAACGTCAAATGAGAAGAGGTACTATTTATACAATATATATATATATCCATGACGTATGTACATTAAAATGCTTTGGGATACACACAACAACATATCTGACTAAAAGTTGCTTACACAGTAAGGACTTTTAATGCTTTAACAGGAATTGGCGAGTTGGCATATGCAGGGTTAGATCAGTTGCTCAACAATTTCAAGGATCTGGGTCAGTTTCTCTGAAGTGTTTGTTGCTGCCTCCTCATGGTGACAAGACAGTTGCCACAGCTCCAAATGCCACATCCTCACCGAATGACATAGAAAACAAAGAAAAGAGAGACTAGAGTTTCTCCTCTCGTGTCTCTCATCAAAGACAAAACTCTTTCCAGAAGATTCCAGAAGATTTTGCCACAGGTCTCATTGGTGGGAGCAAGACCACATGACCACTGCTGAGTCAATTGTTAGCAAATGAGAATGGGATCATCATGTTTGAATGAGCCCAAACATGGTTCGTCCCTGGATCTAGTAGAGGAGCCCACTTTGTATATTGCTACCCACCCAGTTCTGCTAAAAAGAAGGGAAGAATGTAGGTGTTTGTAAAACCTACCACCTGTGAAAGATGTGGCCATACAGGACATCCCAAAATTCTACTAAGATGACTCCATGTCAGTTGGGATGCTGGGAAAGACCCTAAAATATGGCTGAGCAGAATCACCCCCTATGGCGTCTGTAGGAGTTGTAAGATAAGGATGGAATAAAAGTGAAGGACCATTTGCCCCTTCTTATGAACTCCATTTTGCCTAGCTGACAGTAAGATCATCTTGTTATGAATTCTATCACCCCTTTCCACAGTTAGGGGCCTGGCATTTTTGTTTCAGATATTCATCTGGCTATTGGGAGGGTTGATTCCCATCCTGACCTCATCCCAGAATTTGCTCTCCAGGTTTTCTTTCCCCTAAGGGTGCGTAAAACAGCATTGCCCTTGGGAGCAGGCCTGGGACTCAGTCCTACAGCTGGAAGGACAGTTTATCTAACTAAAGCTCTTTCCCAAAGGAACTGATGATGTGGCTTCTGGAATTAGAGCCTCAAGTCGTAAATCAGGGCTTGTTGCCTGGTCCCTTTTCACCTCTTCCTTGGCTCACTCAGTCCCAGGCTCTGGGAAATGGTTAGCAAGTAAAACTTTAGCTCCTGGTCCTATATACCCTCTCCTTTTATAACCTACTCTGCTAAACTGGAAGAACTGAGCAATGTGGATGGTCCTAGAAGGCTCCAGGACAATAGGAGGACCCTGTCAAAGCCCTTTCCATCCCACTGCATATTAGAATATCAGACTAGGAGCCTAGTCATGGGAGTCCTTCATGCACTATTTGCCAGATGCCCAATCCATGTCCAATAGCACATCAATTAGCAAATTTCAAAAACTGAGAAATAAAATAATTATTTCTATACTCTATATTAACATCATGCTCTCCAGGCTTCTGAATACCTTCAAACCCACAGCCTCATCAGATACTGCTGATGACCCTGAGCAGCCACCAGTGATAGGGTCAAAGAACAAGTCTGTCATCATAGCCACCATCTTATTGACTGCCTGCTGCATACCAGGCACTGTGCTAAGCACTTAAAACTCTTTCCAGAAGATTCCAGAAGATTTTGCCACAGGTCTCATTGGTGGGAGCAAGACCACATGACCACTGCTGAGTCAATTGTTAGCAAATGAGAATGGGATCATCATGTTTGAATGAGCCCAAACATGGTTCGTCCCTGGATCTAGTAGAGGAGCCCACTTTGTATATTGCTACCCACCCAGTTCTGCTAAAAAGAAGGGAAGAATGTAGGTGTTTGTAAAACCTACCACCTGTGAAAGATGTGGCCATACAGGACATCCCAAAATTCTACTAAGATGACTCCATGTCAGTTGGGATGCTGGGAAAGACCCTAAAATATGGCTGAGCAGAATCACCCCCTATGGCGTCTGTAGGAGTTGTAAGATAAGGATGGAATAAAAGTGAAGGACCATTTGCCCCTTCTTATGAACTCCATTTTGCCTAGCTGACAGTAAGATCATCTTGTTATGAATTCTATCACCCCTTTCCACAGTTAGGGGCCTGGCATTTTTGTTTCAGATATTCATCTGGCTATTGGGAGGGTTGATTCCCATCCTGACCTCATCCCAGAATTTGCTCTCCAGGTTTTCTTTCCCCTAAGGGTGCGTAAAACAGCATTGCCCTTGGGAGCAGGCCTGGGACTCAGTCCTACAGCTGGAAGGACAGTTTATCTAACTAAAGCTCTTTCCCAAAGGAACTGATGATGTGGCTTCTGGAATTAGAGCCTCAAGTCGTAAATCAGGGCTTGTTGCCTGGTCCCTTTTCACCTCTTCCTTGGCTCACTCAGTCCCAGGCTCTGGGAAATGGTTAGTAAGTAAAACTTTAGCTCCTGGTCCTATATACCCTCTCCTTTTATAACCTACTCTGCTAAACTGGAAGAACTGAGCAATGTGGATGGTCCTAGAAGGCTCCAGGACAATAGGAGGACCCTGTCAAAGCCCTTTCCATCCCACTGCATATTAGAATATCAGACTAGGAGCCTAGTCATGGGAGTCCTTCATGCACTATTTGCCAGATGCCCAATCCATGTCCAATAGCACATCAATTAGCAAATTTCAAAAACTGAGAAATAAAATAATTATTTCTATACTCTATATTAACATCATGCTCTCCAGGCTTCTGAATACCTTCAAACCCACAGCCTCATCAGATACTGCTGATGACCCTGAGCAGCCACCAGTGATAGGGTCAAAGAACAAGTCTGTCATCATAGCCACCATCTTATTGACTGCCTGCTGCATACCAGGCACTGTGCTAAGCACTTGACATCCATCATCTCATTTAATGCTCTCAACAGCCCTAAGAGGCAGGTATCATTACTGACCCCATTTTACAAGTGAGAGATCCCAGACTCAGAAAGATGGTGCAACTTGCCCAAGAAAGCAAACGACAGAGCCAGGTTTCAAGCTCAGGTCTGTCTGGTTCCAAAGCCTGGGCTTTTAGTAATCACTATGTTATTCTTTCAGTGGTGTTTTAATCGTGGCTGGAGTGACTACTCTTCATCTCATGGATAAGCTTGGGCACTATACCATTAATGTGACTCCCTTCCACTTTCTGCTTCTTCCTTCTCTCCCCGGACTCACCTCGTGCTCTCTGTTGCCCTCTGACTTTCCCTGGGAAAACCTTCAAGGCTCAAGTTCTGGGTTGGGTTCTCTATATCATAGAAGAACAGGTCCGGGGCTCTTCAACTTTGTCCCATCAGGACTCCAAGACAGAACTAGGCCTGAGAATCAGAGGTGGAAACAGGCAGGACCAAACACCAGGCTAGTCTCAGGCAATCCCAACATGTTGGGGAGGTCAGAACCAGCAGGCCCAGAAGGACCCACTTGAATCAAGAGTTCAGAGGTGAGCAGCAGCTCTTACTTATGCCACATTCAGGGCCAGGAACCAATGTGAGGGTCAGGGACCAAGACGAAGAGCATATGAGGGAAGAACACAGGGTCTGCACTTGGACAACAGGTATCTAGTCCAAGGGATCGCCCACCTCAGCTGGGAGCAAAGGCCTGGGCTCACGCATAAGCCAGCTGACATCCATGGGAGCTAAGAGGAGAACCCACACTCAGAGCAGGACTCTGGGCCATGCAGAGGGCTCCCCAGTAAGGGGCCAATAGAACAAACAGTCCCAAACAACTTTGGCGGTCCCTGTTCTGCCAGGTTCATTCTGACCAATTAGTTCAACTAAAGTGTTATTGACTTTTTCATATTCAAATTCATACTTCTCAGGGGGCACATAAATAATATACTTGCACCATCTCTAATCCTTAGTATAGCCCCCAAACATAGTAGGTATCAGTGAGTTACCATTTTACAGATGAGAAAACTGAAGGTTGAAAAGCTTAGGTGACCTGCCCCAGGTCTTCTAGGAGAAGAGACTGGATTGGAGTCCTGGTCTTCCTGACTCCCTAGAAAATATTCTTTCCTTTCTAGCCTGTCTCTTACCCAAGAACCATAACTAGCACCCTCATACACCAGGAAACTAAAGAGATCCTGCATGTATCCAGTTGTCAGCTAAGATCTTCTAGATAAAATCTTCTAGATACTGCCTCTGTCAGGAGTGTTCTGGGTGCCTCAAGTGCAACAAGAGATGAGACACAGAGTCTGCACTCGAAGAACCCCTGCCCACCCCTCCCACTGGACTTTGCCAGTGTCCCTCAAAGCCCAGCAAAGAGCCAGCTGCCTCTCCCTATCCTTCCCTAGCCCTTGGGAGGGCATGTTGAGTCTGGTGTTGCATTTGCCCCCATGAACTTGCTCTGCCCATTATGAAACCACAGTGTTGACAGGTGCAGGACCATTGCGTAAGTGGATTAGACTGTATCATTTTGAATCTAAACTGCATCCTCTGTGATCAGAGGCTTCTACAGGCTCAGAGAAGTTTCTGTTTGTTTGGAGCTGGGAGGATTTGTTTGGATTAGCATAGAGATTGTCTACGCACCAGGGAAAGGGGCCCAGTGGCTGCCTATGGCCCAGCTAGAACACAGTCAGCTCAACTCCTCCCTGTGGACCACAAGCCTTGGAGTGACACAGCACTTCTGTGGGCTCCGGCAACAACAGGAGCCTGCTTCTAAAAGAGCACAGTGGTGAGAATGACATCTCCTGGTTATCTTATCAGTCTCCATCACTGAAGCTCCTTAGGAATGATTTCAGCCCCCTCTCCAGAAGCCAGGGCTATAAATAAAGATTCCCCAGGGATGCTGAATCCTGCCCTTTATCCCAATCGCCTCTGTGACTCATCCTACAGGCAGATTCTTCTTCCATCTTCTTGATTATAGGGAGGGGGAAGTGAAAGTCTGTGCCTGTCTATGTGAGTGGCTGTGCCTGGCCATGCTTGTCTGCATGCTGTGTGCATTTGTTTAGGTGCAGTCCAGATGCATGCATGCATATCTGTGCATGGAATTCTGTGTGTATACTATATCTATTTGTGACTCAGTATTTAATTTTAAAGGATAAAAAGAACATGAATTCTCACATAAATTTTGCCAAAAGGACTGTTAGCTAAGCCTCCATATTAAGTCATATCTACTAGTATTTATTAAGGCCTTTCTTTGTGCATAGCCCTATGCTAAGCAAGGAGAATAAGACATAGCTATATCATCTTAACTACAGCTGCTTAAAGCAAATACAATTCTTGAATTGGCAGTGGCAGTTGAGAAAGCATTTCAAGAAAATCCTCACCTGTGGCAGAGGAGAATCACGAAAACATCCCACAAATGAGAAACAGCCTCAGAGAATTTAGGTAACTTACCTGAAATCACACAAACCATAAAGGTCCAAGGTAAAATAAGACCCTAGAACTTTGGGGCAGAATCTTAGAGGTCCTCTCATCTAAACTTTCATCTAATATTTGCATCAACCCTATAAAATTCCTAAAAACTGGTCATTTGGCCCCTTGGTAGAGAACTCAACTTTTGAGACAAACTGTTCTATCTATAGACAGTACCAAACTGCTGGAAAGTCCTCTCCTAAGTTGAATCCCCATCAACCCTCATCTCATTTCTGCCTGTCAACTCTTTTGCCCTCTGGGCCAACAAAGTCTAACTCCTCTTTCTACCACTTCCCTTCAAATAAAGGATGACCACTGTCAAACTGTTTCCTCACCAATGTTTCCTTCAACCATTCCACACTTGAGATAATTTTGAATCTCTAAATATTTGCTCATCACTGTATCTATCATGCTGGTATGCACAGTACTGACACAATTTGGTTAAGTAAACATCAGTTGAGTGAATAAAAGAAGCCCTTTCAGGGTAGATGGTACCATGACTTTTTTCATTAAGATTTTTATCTTAATTAAGAGTTTTCCATTGCCAATGTGCCTATTCTGGCTAGTTCAACTGAAAATTCAGGTTTAAAGGAAGCATCCAAGGGACTCTAAAGTAAGCTAAATATGGAAGTATTAAAGGGACTTGTGGAATGAGAACAATATCAGAGAGCACCTGCCACTCCCTCTCTCTGCTTCCTCATGTTGTCTGATCTCTACTTTCACTTTTTGTATCTACTATGTTCTCTTCTTGGTATGTTGGTTTCCACTATTGCTCATGGTCCAACATGATGACTATCCCATAGCCATATTCCCATATAGCTCCATGTCCATCAGCATAAGTAACAGGGGGTCTGTGTCTCGGTAGAGAGGAACTGACTGGTCATACTTGAGTCAGGTGACTAGTTCTAAGCCAGTCAGCAAAGGCTAGCAGGCAACAGGGAGTAATCATCGAGTACAAACATGCATCCTTCAGTACCTCTTTGGCAAAGCTTCCAAGAGTATGTTTAAAAGGAGGGGAAGATTCTTTGGAAAA